ATATAAAGCAATAAATTGCGGAAATTAAAATTACTACGATATTACATCATTTAGGGGAGGGGGTGTACAAATTACAAATGGGGAATTGCAATAAATTAAAACCCTAGTTATCTATTACAACCATATTGAACTTGAATAAAATGTAACAATAAAGATAAAAATACAAGAATATAAAATGTAAGAAAGAATGTGATTTTTGTTTGATTTTTCATGAAAAGGGTATTTTGACCTAATTAATTAAAATAAAATAATTAACTAAAATTAAGAAAATTAATATTAAGTTAGTAAAATAAATTAATTTAAAGAAAATAAGTTTTTTTAGGTTTTTTTGTGAATTTAATAAAAATAATTAAATAAAAGTCCTAAATTCTAAATTGATTTTAATTTACAAGAAAATAATATAATAATAATTTAAAATTTATTATCTAAGTATTTTTTAAAAAAAGGGAAATTAATTTATTTTAAAAAAATGTTTTTTTGTTCTTTTAGTTTTATGAAAAATAAACTAAATAAATAAAAATAATAAAATATAAATATTTTTGGAATTTTTTATTAATGAAAATAATAATAATAATAATAATAATAATAATAATAATAATAATAATAATAATATTAATAATAATAATAATATTAATAATAAATAAAATGTAAAAAAAATTAAATATAAAAAAAAAAAATAATAATAATAAAGAAAAATAAATGGGCCAGGGGTGTAAACAACAAGGCAGATGATCAAAAATAGCAAAAAAAAAAAAAGGCCCAAACACTTAAAGGCCCAGGCGTTGCAAGAGTCAAAAAAATGTAAGAAAATATGAAGAAGAAAAAAAGCAAAAAACAGCGCGCTAAGGTTCGAACCCATGACCTATTGATTACCAGCGCGCTGCCCTACCACTGGGGTGGCTATACATCCGTTAATATAACTGAAATAATAAATATATAATACAAAACAAGTTCTGAATACACTTCATCTTCAACCTCCAACCAGACCACCTGTAACTTCACCATTTCTCAATAAAAATGGAAAATGCAAACATGAAAGTTGTTCCATTTTTTCATACGAATCCAACCATATAAATATCATGAACTATAAATCAAAGATGAATGAGAATTTTTGAAAGTACCAAATTCTGACCTAATTATTTTCAGAAGTTCAGATTCAAAATTCTAACTACTCAGGCAATAATAATGAAATCTAAGGACATGGTTAGCTTCAGGACAATGATATCTACATTTCTTATTCACAAATAAACCATTAATGATGCTTGTATGAAGAACTCAAAAGTCAGAAAACTCACCTTGCAAGAGGGTATCGTGTTTTGAGTTTGAGCAGTTTTTGATGAGTTCCAGTGATTGAGTTAGCTTCCTCAAGTTCCCAAGAAGCTAATGTGATGCTTAGCTTGAGCTGAAAGTGGCTGAGGAGTTCTGGAGAAGTCAAGGTGCAAGGTGATATTTTTGAAAATGGTGGATGATGATGGAGGTGTTACAGTCGTGTTGCAGTTATTGGAATTGTATGTGTATGTTATTTAGAAGCTTTTGAAAGTAAAAGGCTAGGAAACGCACAAGCAAATTTAGAGATTGGATTCAAAACTCAGAAATAGCAAGTTTTGAGATGTTTTTGGTGATTCTGTGTTTTAGGGAGTTTTAGAGCTTCAGCACGCGTGTGTTTTCTTACAAATGAATTGTGTTTATGTATGGAAAAGGTTTCGAGACTTGAGATGGTCAGAAGTATAAGATCACATGTTTTGGCTTCTTGACTTGTTTTTGAAGTAAGGTTGACAAACATGGTTTCAGTGCATAGTACAAAGCTATCTAGATTGGTTACCAACTTTAAACAAACTTATCTGACTTTTTAGAGGAAGTTTGTGCAGAAGGAACAAGTGTAAAGCTCAATGCAAGTTGACTTTGCATAAAGCTTACTTTATGTAAATGGCAATGGTGCCTTTGTGCCATTAATGGAAAATTAACTTGGATAAAGCTTGAATCAAGTGGATAATAGCTCAAAAGCAAATGTAATCTTCTTATTATGGAGAGATCTTGAGGTTTAGAGGCCTGTAAAGCAAGATTGTGCAGCATAGGTTTGAGATTTGAATTTTGTTCATCACAAAATTTGTCTTGTAAAACAACTTGAAACCCCAACTTCTAACCTTCGATTCTCCTTGCTCACAAATGATCTCAAGGAGTTTTTGGACATTTTGGAAAGCTTGTAATGTGCTCTAAAACCCCTCTTTGAATCACTTTTGCAATATCGAAATGGAACTATGTGAAACTTGGGTCAGAAGTTAGGTCCAAATCCTGATCAAAAATACTCAAAATTTCACTAAGTGTTTAGTTTCATGACCATGACTGCATGGATTAATAACTTGAGATCCAAGCATTTCTAGGAGAAGTTGTGTAAATAAATCTTGTAGATATCATGGAGATCTACAACTTTCATGTTGAAAGTTTCTTTTGAATCATCTTGCATCATGGTGAAAAATTGGCTCAAAGTTGTGAAAAAATATGAAGTTTTCAACACTTAGAAAAATTTCTAAGTTTGAAAACTTTGACTTTTCAAAATGAAATCTTGACTTTTTGATTTCTTGATGAACAAGTTTCATATTTTGACATGTTTTGATGAATTATGATCTTTGACACTTGATTCTTACCAAAAAGTCAAAGTTTGACTTTTCATTGTACAATTGACTTTTGATCAGTTGACTGAAAATCAACTATCAATCCAATTGATCTTGGGCAATGTTTTGAGTCATGCCATTAGGTCAAAATGATGCAATTGAAATCTTGAGATCATGCCTCAAACTAATTAACTATTTGCTAGGTCAAAAATCAGAAATTGCCCTTTCTCAGTCAAAACCCTAATTTTGACTATTTTGCCTTTTTAATAATTTGATCAAATTTCTTGAGGAATTATGGTCCAAACTTAATCAAATGATACATATGAGTTTATAATGTTGACGTGGATAAAAAATTATGAAGTTTGACTGTAAATTGGCCATAATTGACTTTTTCCCCAATACAACTGATTTTTAGGTCAATTGGTCAATTGACTGAGCAAAAATGTGATCCAAGGCTTGAAACTTGACATGAGTAATCTTGGGAGTCCATAATGTTCCATGACAGTCATATGAGGCATTAAAAGTTCAATTATCCTTGTGCAATCTCAAATCCTAATTTCATTCATCAGTGCTTAAGGAGGTGTCTTGAGCTGATTAATCCTTGTGCAGTCTTGAACCAAAGGAAATCTTGTGAGAAAATATTTGATAAATGAGAGGGCAAATTTTGGGGTACAACACACCCCTACGTGCAAGACAAATTATCGTATATGGTCCAAATTTTTCAGGATTAAATCACACAATTTTTCATTACATCCTTACGCATTCTCCAAAGTCTTTGACGAAATTTCGAAAATACCCCATATTTTCGGAGATATATCTCCAGACGCACCAAATCTCATTTTTTACAAAATTTAATTCGGAGATACATCTCCAAATTCACCCAAAGTTAATTCAAAAATGTATATTCGAATATACCATTTGTTTCCATTACCATCAACTTCTCAATAAAAAAACTATTTCAATTCCATCAATTAACTTATATGCCAATTAATATATATAAATTTCCAATAAATTATATACCAAAAAAGTTTCAATAATAATTATGCATATTTAATTATTATAAAAATAATTATAAAAAATAATTAAAAAAATAACTAATATAAAAAATAATTATAGAAAATAATTATGCATATAATTATTGTAAAAAATAATTCTTGACTAATATATAATTCACATATTTTATAACATTATATATTTTCTTGACTAATTCACGTATAATTTTATATTATATATTTTTTTGACTAATTCACTATATAAAAATATATTCATATATGTATAATTATTATTGGACATTTGTATAGATAATTATTTATTTGGGGGCATATATAAATATTTATTTGTTGTTTATATAATTTTTAGTCATTTATATATATTTATTGGACATATAATTTATTTGATGGAATTGAAATTTTTTTTTTTAAATTGAAGGTAATTGTAACAAATAGTAAATTAACCTTGAGTGAATTCTAAGATATATCTCCGAATTAAATTTTTATAAAAAATAGAATTTAGTGTGTTCGGAGATGTATTTACAAATTCACCAAATAATATTTTTGAATTTTCAAAGATGAGTTCTATATTGCAAAGATGCAATGAGAAATTGCCTTAAATCATGTTTAAATAGGATCTCAACATATTTTTTACAATTAAACCATGATTAAATAGATTTAATATTAATTTTTTTAAGGTTGAACCATAGTTAACTTACCCCCTCAAAAAACTTAAGACATACGCTGATAAAGCTGAGGTAAAGAATTGCATCACAAATGGCATGCATGTGAAAATTCTCAAGAAATGCCAAATTGAACCAACCTAAGATAGGGTGACAGTGACTCATAGGACCAGTATGTATACTGACACATGATTTCAGAAAGCAAGATAACTCCAAAGAAATGAGATAATGGTTAATATCAAGGGGAGAATCAAAGCTTGTGTAGAAACACAAGTATAACAATGGTTAATAACTTAATACCAATCAATAAGCTAGCAGTAGCAAGTGATGCAGTGATGATAATATAAACTAAACATTAATAAAGATTAAAGAAGACCTTTCATGATTCCTTGCTTGGCCACCACTCTAGGGAGTGAATGCTTTTCCATCTTCAATCATGTTTCATATAATTGAGATTACCAACCAAACAAGACAATTTAACTCAAATCACATAAAGTACTTATTTTTTACTTTGGGTGACAACATCATAAATTGCAATTATTAAACTCACCAACAAAACCAAACCCAATCAAAAACAGTCCTACATACATTTCAGCACAACAATGATTTACTAGTGACTTCATTCCAAAGCAAAGTTATATTATCCTTTATCTTTTTACTCTTATATTAACTCTCTTTTTTCCATTCACCAACATCACCACAACAGCCAAAGCAAAATGGTGAAGCAAGTAAAAGCCTCACTCACATGCTTTGTTCTTTTCCTTCTTGTCATAGCTACTTCCATGATATCAATAGTTCACTCGAAAAACACAATGATAATTCCTACAATTACAGAGAATCAAGTTAAGAGTTGGCAAAGGAAGACAAGGATGAACCATGGAAGCCATCGTGGTGGTTCGAGGAAACATCTTGTGAAGCCAACAGCAGAGGATTCTTTTCAGTTGGCTCGTGAGTTTCCTGTGTAGCAGTTTTGTTTTCTGCTATATGAATCAGAAGTTCATGTTTTTAGTGTTGTTCTTCATACCCTTTTATTTTTATGTCCCAATAGTACCAAAATTTAACTTCATGTATCAATGTCATGTATATTTGATGATTTGTCATATTAAACAGAATCAAATTCTGCAGTCTGTTGTACTGTTATAAATTTAAATTATGTATATACATCATAGGCAAAAAAACCAGTGATTTGGTGGAAACAAACAGAACCAATCAGATTATGTATGATCTGGATTTGCTTGTTACCAAGTTGGTAGAGAAGATAATTTTCAGATCAATAATTTATTAATATGGTTTGAAAAGTCATTGCAAACTATAGTTCCTGCTGACTTGTATATTTGGATAAGTTTGACTGCTTAGTGCCAAAAATAAAATTAAGTCATCTTTCTAATTAATCTCTTGAATTTCAAGTAAACCACTGTATGAACACAAATCATAATTAAACAACTAATCCAAATCATTTAAACTTTAAAAAAAAAAAATCCTTTCCAGCACATACAACTCAAACCTCAACCATACATTTTTATATTATTTGTTTATTGCGAAAATTAGGTTTGGCATCTATGGTGGAGCCATGCTGTCATGCTTTGGACAAGAAGTTTTACATAATTTATAGTACACGATCCATCATAATTCATAAATAAAGCTTTAACTTAGTAGTTAGTAGTATAATTTAGAAACAAATCAAATAAGTGGTTGGCAATTTTATAGAAAAAAATGTTCATGTGATGTCAATACATTGACTTAATTAAACGCACCAATTTTTTAGTTAATTATTAATAGATGAAAAGTACTTTTCCTAATCATTTGCATTAACAGAAGCACTCAATTTGATGTGAAGTAGAAAAATATCATTTGTGATCATGGTTTTGAACAAATCAGAGGGTGATTCAAACAGTTAGGTAGAAGAATTCTAAAAATCATGAGGGAAATGGAAATGTGACATGAAGAATCAAAATATGTTGAATATAGACCCTGCTTGATTTGATTGTATTTTGATTTCCAAGTTTTTAAAACATATACTATAAAGTAAGAAACAGTGTTTTTTTGTAAAAGCAGTTTTACAAAACAACTTAACCATACAAATTTACAGTTTTTATATATATTTTTAAAACTAAAAATAGTTTTTGAAAAGAGAATTCAAATACATCATATGAATAGCTTGACAAAGCATTTCTTGGCTATAACCGTTGCGAATTTGAGACACATTGCGTGCTTGGCAGGCAATAAAAGCGAGCAATAGAATACAAAAAGAAAAAATAAACATGTATTTCAACATGAATGATGTCTTAAACTCATCCAATAATGTTCACTCTTCGTTGGTAAACTGAATCGTTTATCAAGAGTACACTAAAAAAATGCAGAAATAAGCTTAAACTTCTCATGGACCAAAAGTATAAACTCAAATTATATCATATCAAACAGAAATTAGTTTATTATTATACATATGAATATGCACGTATTCGGGGGTATAAATAACATTGAGCTAGTAAAGGATGACAAAAAAATGTATTACACTTTTAAGTTGATAAAATTCATGCCACACAGATTAAAAACAATACCAGTTTAGATGCCTGACTCTTCAAGAAGTTTTAGAAGATTATGCTCAGGAGCACTAACAGATGGTAGGATCATTCGATTAGAACGTGATCTTCGCGGCCGAGTATTACCACCACCTTCTTGCTCGAGGGTTTCCCCTTCTTTCATTACTGGCAGGTCTCCTCTTCTATGCATGGTAGCAGAGGCTCGCTCTTTCCATATTCTTCCGTCCTGATGATAGAACAAGATTTCAAAATCACAAAAGCTAAATAGTAACAGTCAATTAACAGCAGTTCACTCTGGCGCAATCCGTATTAATATAGTAACATTAGAAAACCATATCTTCGTCTTACATTGAGAATAGATGGTTCTGGCAATGGACATTGAACTGGTCGATCATTGTCAAGAGGCTCGACCGGATGTTCAACCGGCTTAAACTCCACAGCCACTTCAATTCCATGTGAAGTTGCAGTGGCCGCCGCACTTGCAGCAACAGAAACTGCCGCCTCTGCGTTTGCTGGAAGCACGTCCCTGTCATCCTGCATATCACAAATAAATAAAACTCACCCGCATAACTTAGAAAAAGGAAGAGCTAACATATGCTATAAGCGCTTAATTAAACTATTTATCCTAAAAGGGCCATAGGTTTCACTAAAATTTCCAATCTAACACCAAATCACATCAATAAGCGATAAGGCAATAAAACAGTTATAAATCAATAATCAGTTAACTACATAAGAATTATTTGGTAACATGATTAATGAAAAACACACCACGGAATCATTTTTGGATTGTGAATAAAGTTTTGATGAGAAAAAGAAAGAAAGTGTTACCAAGCGGGCACTTTGCGTGCGTCGATGCATACTCTTTTTAACGGTGAATCTCGAAAATAGACCCACCATTTTTACAGCTCAAAAACGAATATCCGAGTGGAAATGAACGATCGTTTTGATGGTGGTGTGATAATCTGGTGAAAGAGTGTATTTGGAACAAGGCGGGAGTGGTTGCAGAAACGGGTTGTGATCCGGGTCGAGTTGGGTCCGAAACGAGGTGATGTTGGTTGTGGAGAGAGAGAGAGAGATAGGAATGGTTTACTTACTTGGCGTGAGAGATGATGTTCTTGTGCTGTGTAGCGGATTCATTAATTCGTTAACAACAACAGTAAGGATAATAATTTATATGGAATCACTTGTTTATAGTTTTTTTTTTTAATTTAAATAACTCACTTTTTCAAATTAATTTCTCAAATAATTCACTTTCCCAACTAATTCATAAATAACTTACTTTCAAACAAACCAAAAAAAAAAGAAATGTAAAAGTGTGAAGAATTTTATATCATTGAGGATTAATATGTTATTTTGTCTTAATTTTATTTTGTTTTAATTTTTCATCACTATTGTCAGATAAATTGACAATTGCTTTTAAAAATGAAGAGTTTGTGTCAATTGAATTACCATTTTTTTTTAGGTCTAACCAATTCAATTGACGTTTGAGTTTAAAGAGAAAGAATTGGCGCAAATTCATCTAACGCATCAATATATATTTTTTGTTACAAAGAGGGCAAAAGCCCGAAAAGAAGAAACTACATCACGATATTTCTAGTATAGAGAGCTCCCGACGCATCCCCAACCAAAAACAAACAAATATAATCTGGAATATTTCTAAATCCGCCATGTCAACTCCAAATTTTGCGAGAGCATTTACGGATTGATTGACTTCCCTGTAAATATGAGTAATCATGACTTCATCATGTTCCTCCATCAACTTATAAATTCGGCGAAACATGCTATAACTATCCACATCCAGAGTCCTTCGAACATTTAAGGTATTAACAATAAAACTAGCATAGAGAATTATCTCCACCTTCTTGAAACCCATACTCTTGGTAACTTTTAAACCTTCGAAAATCCCCCACAACTATGCTCGCACCGCATTACAACATCATATCTTCCTCGTGAAACCTCCATTTGTATTTCCATAATGTTCCATGATGATTCCTCCACACCTAGCTACTCTGCTATCCTTGTTGGCCCCGTCGGTGTTTAGCTTAACACAACCTTCCATGGGCGGCGTCCACTTGACAATAAATTATATAAAGAGAATGAATAAAAAATATCAATATTTAATTTAAATATGATTAAGTTGTTATTATTCTATTTTTCAGCCACATAGGTTGAAATCTAAGCTAACGCGCTCGACTCAGTCATTATCTTCTTCAGACTCAGATCACCTGAAATTCTGGCATACAGATTACACATGTTCTAATACATGGTTAGACATTGATCTCTGCAAACAAACTCATGGACAAAACCAGCAGACTGATACAAAATTTATCAGTCCAAAATCGTAATAGATGTTACAACATCTTATACGACATGTTAATCAACCAAAAATGAAACTGAACAATGCAGAATAATAAAAACATCGAGATACGATAACCCAATTCGGTGTATAACTACACCTACTCTAGAGGATACCAAGTCAGGAAGAAAATACATTATCAGTAGTATTAGTTCAAAGTTAAACTCTCTCGTTTACACTTCCCGCCTAATCCCTACCCAATGACACTTTTACTTAGGTCCTCCATAAATATGAGAAATCGTCATCTCACTTCCTAAATTACCTCAATGATATCTAACAACCATAAAGTTCAGCCAAGACTCTTGACTAACCAACACGCTTGGATTTGCTTCAAATCCAAGAATAATATACATTATATGCTTAAAAGCTTAAGAATGAACGACAGAACTTTGCAACTCAAGGATTCGTCCTACTCTTCTATCAACATGATATTAGAGAGGCTCACACATACCGACTCTCCTAGAGAGTGGCTTACAGACTCAACCCTAATAATCTAAATTTTGCATCTTCGGCTGGTACCTTTTTTAGGTTAATATCTTTCTATTTATAACTTTTTTCCCAACTAGATGTGGGCTTCAAATCACAGCATACCAGCTGCTACAAATCTGCACAATCTTTTTCATAAAGATAGGTCTTCAATCATGACTTTTCTAATTTATCTCCATAATCAGAAAGTCATTATTCTTCTTGATTTCAGCTTATATCTTCCAGACCTTAAAATCAGTGCCACATATGACAGCATAAATTCCTAGATTATTTTGCATCTATTAAATCTTAAACCGATCCAACAGCCCAGCCTAAACCAATCACGATGTTGAATGACTCTGCATATGGCATCTTGTCCGACATGTTGCTCCAGATGATGAAATATCTTATCTCAACATGTTTTTTCATAAAATAGGACTTCTTGTTTAACATGTTCTTCTCGACAAGTTAATATATCCTATTTAACATATTGCTGCTATATTTGTTTTACTAAAATTAATGTTGTGATACGGTGGGAGAACTGACTTGATGTTTTGCGTTTCGATCGTATTTGTGTGGATAGCAAGAGTCGCCACCGACTTTTCTTTTATCCAAAGGAAAGGTAAAAAAGCACAGGAAATACCTTTCGAGATTATTTCTCGGGTTCGGGGGGTAGATTATGAAAAGGGAAGGTATTAGCACCCTTTTCATCCATGGTTTTCCATGGGCTCTTAGTTACTCATTTATATCACTTGCTTTTATTTGACAGTGTGCTTGTGGTGTGGGCTTTGAAAGTGTTTTGAAAGATCTCTTTGTAATGGTCCTCGTTTCTATAAGAACGCGTACAAAGTTTTGTTTCGAAAAGTGGTTCAAAGATGTGTTTGTGGAACGTGTTTTCGGAAAGTGTTTTGAAAAGATGTTTTGCAATGGTTCTCGTCTCTATAAGAACGTATACAAAATGTATTGTCTTTTGAAAATGTTTTGAAATGAAAGTGTAGGTGTAAAAAATGTTTTTATCGTGAGCAAATGAGTAACTAGGTGTGAATCTATCTACTTGAAAGGTCTTAAATGGTTATTTTCTTTCTCCTTTTAATGTTTCTATCTTACCATTAATTTGGTAATAAGCCCCATCGTTGGATGTGAAGGGACAGGCACGGGTCAATTTTACAGTCATCGAAGGCAACTTATGAGACGCTTTAGCAATTTTCGTAAGGGACGAGATCGTTTTATCGAAGGCAACGTCAAGGGTCATCGAGGGACTACGATCTTTTTTATCGAAGGGTCATTGCTAAAGCATCCCATATTCGAGGGACATGACTGTATTTCCGAGGCAACGAGCGAGGTTACCCTAGAGGTGCGCGTGTGAAAAAGTGTGTTTGTTTCAAGTTATTTTATTCTTTGATTAGGTTATCTAGCGATTGATTTTTGAATCTTGCCATACACGCCTAATTACTATACAATATAAGGAAAACAGTAAATTGCGGGAATTGAAATTCTACGCTATTACAAAGTGTTCGGGAATGGGGGTACAATTTTTACAAATGGGGATGAGTCAAATGTGATTTAAGGGTCCAAATAGCAAACAATACAACCAAATCGAATTTTGAACGATTAATTAAAGCTACAATAATCTATGAAATAAAATTAACCAACAAAATATGGAAATAAAATTTTATATATTTACTTGTAAGGAAGAAAGAAAAAATAAGATTTTATTTAAAGAAAATGTTTAACTAAAGAAATTAAATCAAAGTGTATATATTTTTTATGATGAAAAAAATTAATTAACCTATAAAAAAATTATATTTTATATTTTTTTAATATGAGAAAATTAGAAAAAAAAAGAAAAAAAAATATATTATATTTTTTGTGACATTTGTATCATGAAAAAGAATCAAAAGGAAATTAATAGCAAGAAAGTTTAACAAGGAGCAAATTAGTAACAAAAACAATTAATCAAAATGATTAATGTAAACAAGAATTTGAAATTAAACAAATGAGGGGGGGGGGGGGGGGGGGTATGCAGTAAACGAAATTGGGCTTATGGAGAAAAAATAATGGGTCGCCCAACACAATTCAACAACCCAAAACCCAAAGTTCATAATCCAAGTATTATTCACGGACTAAGGGGGTAACAAGAGATTAGAGTTTTGGTCTGTCTTCCCTCTCACGCGGCGCTGTTCTTATCTCTGTTCATCCTTTCCACAAACTAAATCCCTCTAAGCTTCCTCACTACCCCGTTCCTGACTCACCTCGCAAACGTTCGCTCTCTACAGTAACAACGTACGCCTCTTTGTCTCACAGCGGCTAACATCTTTTGAAGCCTCTTTTGAATTCGGATTTAGATCAGAGAGACCCAAAATCGTCTTATCCTTGACTTCCCTCAACCTCTTTATTACCGGAATATACCTCTCTCGTCTCTCTAATCTAACCCTAGCGATTTTGAAAAAGGTATGATCTTTTTTCGTCATTTTTTCTCTAGCTTACAGATTTTTGTTGATTTTTCTTTTATCTACTCATTAGTTCTTTATAGATGCAGAAATTATGCTAGGGAAGTATGAGAATGAGGGGAGAATTCATACCTGTTAGAGCTCTATAACTTCTCCCTCGCCTTGCTGTTTTTTTATGATTTTCTACAAATTTGGAATGGAGAGGCGAGATTAAGGATGGTGTTCAGTGGTGGCGGAAGATGAATGAGGGAAAGTGATGAGGATGGGGCGAGGCTCTTCTGTCTTGTTAATAACTTTTCTGTCTTCTTTTTGGCCCTTGGCTTAGATGGTATGTTATCTCCTTTTTTTTGGTTATAAAGTTTTTGAATGATGATCGTGTTGTTTCTGTTTTTGGGTGATGGTTATCTGGTTCTGAGTTTTGGGTGATGGTTATCTGGTTCTGAGTTTTGGGTGATGGTTATCAGGTTCTGAGTTTTGGGTGATGGTTATCAGGTTCTGAGTTTTGGGTGATGGTTATCAGGTTCTGATCTTGATGAACATCATATTTGTTTTTGCTTGTTTTCTTGTTCTGTTACTGTGTTTTTTGTGTGTGTCCTAAATCAATCGCCCCTCTCTGTTTTATTGAA